GTGCTTCATTTCTTAATACCACCTACTTGCAGGAGGTGCCTTATTGAGCAGGATGCCTTATCGGAGAAGTCATTACAGAAGCCACCAATCGTAGGAGTTCACGTTTTACAGATACAAAACTGTTAGAAATTGCTTTTCATGTAGAAAACAAAATCAATCTCCAAGACGAACAGCTCCAGATTACAGCGTCGAAGAGGACGAATTTGGACGACTAGTATGTTCTCATACTCTCCTTAAAACAATAAAATATCTTAATTGAATTTCAGATAAATCGTGAAAAGCGTATGATATGGCCAGAGCGAAGGCCAAGGGCAAGAGAGGAATTTGAGCGTATAATTCGTTTACCACCAACAGCGGTAGTAAAACAATTTCTAGCATCAATAAGGCAGTTCTAGGTTCAAATAACTTTAAGGTGCCCATAATTTCACCGGCGCCATCCACAGCTACCGATATATTCTTGAGCAGCACTCGGAGCGTTGTTAATGAAGTGAGGGTTTTAGATTAAGATAGTGTTTTACGAGTGCAATATTGAACCATTAAGGTTGAAAATAAACCAGATCCTGAAGTCGAACAAGCATTCATAGGTGGATCATCTCCAAAGGAGATGAGTTATTATCTTCTTTTAGGTTGAATTTAGGAGAAACTGTTCTTTGGGTAGGGTTTCACTTGAATGGGTGACGTAAAGTAGTCGCCATATTGATTTCAAATCCGTTTGTTTTGGCTCTCTTGGCTGAGATTTTACCCTGCACTCGTTTTTTACCTAATGGAGGAAGCGTGCCTTAGTACACATATTCTATGACTATTGTGAATGTGTTGCCTTTAGGCAGCCGCACGAGTCGATCCATCAGCTTTTGTGCTCTATTATCGAATTGATGAACCACTTAGCGACAAAGCTTATCTTTACATGGCGTACAAAAACAATCAAGGACAGGTTCGATCAATACAGGCATCGTAATCATCCTTGTGTTCGAAACTCACTTATTCTTCATTGCAGCCTTTTCACTTCCCATTGACTTGTAGAAAGGCGAAGCATGACGATGGTAGCGAATCTACTTATTGGCGAGTAGAGTATGGCGACCCAGAAGCCAAAGAAGTTGGTAGCATAGAAATTTTCGAGGGCGAGAACTGGTCCCCTAGCTATGTGACTGCAATGCCGGGTTTAAACACTATTCTTTGATGTACTTGTGGGCATGTGCGATAGGAACAGTCACTTATAGTGAGGACCAGTTCTCGTCTTTTCAAAAGTCATTCGCTTCTTAAGTTCCCGATTTGCAGTTCCCCTGCCTTTCTGCTTTAGTCAGATATCATCAAGTTTTCTCATACTATGACATTAAAACCGGTGCTATCGAAGCATTCCCGCTATGGTCAGGTGACCAAGTAATTATCGATAACGAATAAGACTTCATTGAATTTCTGGTTAATAAAATTTTTGACCTTAACCTCAGAAATTTTGCCGTTCACCTATTAAAGACGAACGCAAAAAAATATAAGAGAAGGTCTAAATTCATTCATGCAAGCATATGAACCATTTCGGAACAAACATGACATGCTTAGCAAATTGTTCAAATAGATACTATACGAATAAGAACACAACCAAATATTGCTAATGGGTCA